AAAGAATCCAAAATTTCAGCTTCAATTTCCAACCAGTTTTTAAGTTATGACATTTTGAAATTTAGGTACCACGCCCCTTTTTTCATACCGGAAATGGCTCCTTTAACTTTGTTGAAAGATTTAGATTTTCACCGTTTTGGAGGGCCATAGCTTATCATTTTCAACTTTTTATTTTCATTATTTCCGGAGATATAGCTTCGTAAAAACTGTACAAAGTTAAAGGAGCCATTTCCTGTATGAAAAAGGGGGCGTGGTACCTAAATTTCAAAAGGTCATAACTTAAAAACCGCTTGACCAGACCATAAAGTATTGGCTTTCGGCCAAAAGGTCAATGACATGATAACATATTTTTACCAGCCAGTGTTTTTGGCAGGTGGTGCATGCCCAAACTATTGACAATTATGTACAGCCCATACATTTGCTAAATAAATGGTCTCTCTAACGTAAATTGTTTTTTTTTTTTTATCAATAATCCTAATTTAAGTAATTTACTGTAATCATTTAATGATTCAAAATGTTTAAAAACCTGCCCCCTCATTGTTCTATCTGTTCTCAAACTCCATTTAGCCGTATCGAGTCTGTGAAGAAACAGTCGGAGAGCCGCGTTAGTCAAGTATCATTAACTTGTCATGGATAATGGCCGAAATTTAACAGTTTTTTATACGTTGAAAATGTAGTTATTTTGGCACTAAATGTTATTAAAAAAACTAGTTTAAATAACTAAACTACAATTTTAAATGATGATTAAAACTACGATTTCGGTTCAATAATTTTTTGGTTTCGAAAAATATTGATATTTTAGGCTTTAATTAAACATACAATTTTTTTTACAAAGTGGAAGGCCAAAACACATTAAATTTCACATTTTCTACACAAGGTACAAACGCAAATTTAAAATCTATCATAGAATAATTATTAAACTACCCAATAATGTAAACATCTACTATATACGGCGTTTGGGATGCAACTGCTACTAATCAAACCATTATGTACCGCACCACTGAGGATTCGGTACTCCGATACCATTGAAAACAGGCTAGGAGGAGGAGGACACGACACTGTGACTGTTACAGGTCGATGTCGAGGCCTACTTCTCAGTTCAAGCTTTCTAGGCGTTGTCTAGCGTGCTGCGTACGTGGGCCTGGTGTAGTAATTTGGCATTACAGTATCAGACTGTTAGGGCATATTGTATGTTGTATTAAAACTGTCGCATTTAATAAAACACTGCACTTTTTCTTATACATTTTATAAGAACAAATTGAGGCTGAGGTAAAAAAAAAATCCAACATCATTATCCATACCTTATTTCAAGTACTGTACATGTAATGCTAGAGTAAAGTAATATAGGCCTATGTACAATAATAATTTTCCACATTTGTAAAGTATATTAAACAAAACTAGAAATTGCAAATTGCAAGTGAAGTGCTGCGAAGTACAACTGCATATAAATGTTCTTCGAACAAAATTATTTATGCGAGTCAAGTGAAAATAATGAATAATAAAACTATAACAAATAATGAGACACGACCCATTGTCTATATTAGAACACTTCTCATTGGGTAACAAAGTCGTAATTTTTCATTTTGTCAAAAAATTGTCTAGGCCTATAGTGTAGTAAATGATGGTTTAGGTTTTTTTTAATAAAGTTTCAAAAATTTCCATGTATGTGGAAAATGTAGTTGATTACTAAAGGTTACAATTTTTATTTTGAAGACTGCATGGTCTAGGAAGTGCACATTTTTGTTATGGGGCAAGTTTCCAAGGGCGGGTTTTCTGGGCGAGTTGACTGCCAAAGAGTGTTGCCAAAGTGCGAGCCAGCGTGTTATTTGATCACAAGTACGAGACATATCACAAGTGTGAGCCAGCGAGCAATGACGTCACGACAATAGATAGAGACGTTAGCCAGTTGTGCGAGGTGTCGGCTGAGATTTGCGGAGTACAATTCAAAAAACAACTATAGGTCTAATAATGAATTATTGTGATGTTAAATAGACAATGTTAGCTATCAAAGAGCGAC